TAGCGACGGGCGGATTCTTCACGACGACCGACGACGGCGAGGCCTGGAGAGATCTATCGACAACGATCTTCGCCGACGAGGCTTGCTCCTCCTCCATGCGGAAGTCGCGGTAGCATTTGGAGCAGAGGTTTTGGGTTGCGAGGCTCCCAAAGAAGCCGTAGTTGTTGGCGTAGAGGCAATGAGCCTCTTGGCACCGTTGCTCTTCGGCCATCTTTAACAAATCGATCAGATCGAATTCCGATCTGAACAATTTAAACGATCAATTCTCGAAGAAATTGAAGATCTAGGGAAAAGAATTGGAGAAAGGGACGGTGGAAACCCTTTCAAATCTATCACAGATAAAAAAGAAAGAGAGAAAGAGTATTATGGTCTTCACATGTTTAAAACTCTTAGGGCTTGTTTGGATTGAGGGGAATGAGGGTGAAGGGAAGTTAGGGGAACCATTCACCTCTATTCACCTTGTTTGGGAACACTTAGGGCTTGTTTGGATTGAGGTGAATGAGGGTGAAGGGAAGTTAAGGGAATCATTCACCTCTATTCACCTTATTTGGGAACACTTAGAATGTGAAGTTAATTCACCTCAATTCACCTCCATTCACCCCCTAATAGTATAAAAATTGTTACCCCAAATTGGGGTGTAACCAAGGGGAATGGAACTCCCTTCCCTTCCCTTTCCTTCCCTTCACTCAGTTTCCCTTAACTTCCCTTCACCCCCCGCAAATCCAAACAGGCCCTTAGGAGGTGAAGTTAATTCACTCTAGTTCCCCTTGGTTCACCCCCTAATAGTATAAAAATTGTTACCTCCCAAATTGGGGTGTAACCAAGGGGAAGGGAATTCCCTTCTCTTCCCTTCCCTTCACTCAGTTTCCCTTAACTTCCCTTCACCCCCTACCAATCCAAACAGGCCCTTAGGTTTTGTGTTTTGGGAGCTCATGGAATAATGAATTTACTTTTGGGGGTTTTGAAAGCGTTGAAAAAGACTTGGGAGGGGGTGGAATAGTTATTGGGAAATTGTGGGCTAGAAGCAATTTCCCCCTTTTTATTTTCACCCCTCAATTGGGAATTTGTTAAGGAGAGCAAAGCCGACGCGATAATCGCTTGTATCGGACTTAATTAGGTTGGGATTTTGTAGAAAACTAATTAAGTCGACGGGGTTGTGTCATTGCATTTATAGTTGACTATAATAAATGTTTGCATGCATATTCTTAATGCAAGAAATGAAAACATTATTATGAACTATAATTTCGAGGTCTTTATGATAAGATCTAAGCAGTAGAACTTAAGGTGGATTGGTGAAAAGATCTTAACGTTTTTTATGGTTGGAAGTGAGATAATTCCTTGATAAGTCGATCTAACGAGGATGGAATTGCCCTGTACTATTTGCTTCAATGGTTGGACCGCTTGCGCATACACTGGGTCTCGACCAAAACCCCCTTCAGGTTCAAGTTGATGATTTGTATATAATCAAACTGTAATCTAATAAGATCTGGTCGTAGAAGGATGTCTGAATTTTTCATATCTTAAATAAGCATATACCTAGGATTGTTTTAGAGACGACCATTTTGTACAGGGGTTACTTTTTATGTTTGGCATCACAAGATCAACGGTAGGGCAATAATTGTTGGCTCGTGATTGGTTGACCATGTTAATCGTCGCACTTTGACACTGACGATGGGATTCTTCGTACTAATGATGCTTGGGTGTCAATCACATGTGTACATAAAAAAAAATATTAAGTGATCTGATTCGGAATGTAGTGTCATGTATGCAAGCAAATATCAAGCCTTAGGCACACTACATTTTGACGATAGCTGCCCCGAATGATCTTCTAGATCTTGGCTTTCTATTCATCTATCACATTTGTATCTACTAGATCTTGGCTTTCCAAATTCTTGGGTAAAGCCATCATGTGTTCTGAGCATAATCCTAGCGATTGCTGGATAGTTTTTTTTTGGGGTGTTTTTTTTCGAAAAATTAAGGGGCGGGCCGGAGGGGGGGGGGGGGGCGCGAAGAAATCAAACAGGTTTTCTCCAGCCTTAGACAAAGATACTCAATCCAAGGGAACTAAACACATATACAACATTGTGTACAAATAGCGCCTTTACAGTAAACTGTAACGCTTATTTTCAGCATGAACCACAAACCTTGATACCATAAAAACGATAACTTTGTTTAAATAGGAGCTGAGAAATCCCCGCTATCATCGATATAATCTGTATCAACATCGGTTTCAAGTTCACCGGCAGGAGATTGTTTCAGAACTTAAGCACCTTGTGCTGGTGTCTTTGCCTCCTGAATTATCTTCATTATATCTTCAACCGTCTGAGAGGGTTGCTTACTTTCTTTGTCTTCGTAGTTAAACTTATCGCCATTTGCCAGCTCTTGTGGCAGCTTGCTCAGAAACCATGGGTGTTGTTTTATCTTTGGGATTGTAATCCTCTTCAGGAATGAATGGAAAGTCATCAGCATATTTTAGTTTTGGGTAAATTATTTGAAACTTTTCTCGTCTATACTCTGTTTTTTGAGAAACTCTCTCATCTGAAATGTTCAACAAAAAACCAAATCATCTATGATCATTGATGAACGTATGCCGTTTACTAATTCATATATAGGGAAAATTACAAATAAATCCTGCTAACATTTGCAGGAATGATAGCAAATCCCTCTTAAGTTTTATAACTGACACTTTCACCCCCTCCTTTTGATTATTTCCCCCAAACAGAGTCACATGAGTGTCATATGCCCTGTTATCATAAATACTTTATCTTTTTTTTTTATGAGAGAAACAAGCATGGGGTTTTTTTTTTTGTTTTTTTTAAGGAAAGAGACAAGCATGAGGGTATTTTTGTCATTAAACAAGTCATATGGGTATTTTTTTCAAGCAAACGTCACACTGGTATATTTGATGTAAAAATCAAAAGGAGGGTGTTATTTTTGNGTTTTTTTTTTGTGGTGGGGGGGGGGGGTGTTAGTTTTAAAACTTCCAGGGAATTTATGTCATTCCTACAAACCCTGGGGGAGTTTTCTGCAATTTCCCCTTCAGATATATGAGGAGAAGTTTGCATGCAGAATTCTACAAACCTTAGGGGGTTTTCTATAATTTTTGACATCCGATATACGAGCAGACTTTTGCATGCATAATTCTACAAATCTTAGGGGGTTTCCCGTAATTTTTCCCATCTGATATATCAGCAGACTTTTGCATGCAGAATTCTAATTAAATGACAAAAAATTAGATTTCAACTCCGAAAACTTGTGGATTCTGAAGTGCAGATGTCTCTCTGGACATCTATCCAAGTGCAAATGTCTGTCCTCCGTTATACAACTAACGTTTTTATAAAATGAGGGGTTTTTCGCATAACTTTTTCGATGACGGAGTTTCTTGAAAAACATGGTATAGATGATATGACCTTCCCCACCTTTATATGAAGAAAAAATGTAAGAGGTTCAGTAATGATAAGCTTACTGCAGATGGATCTGATACAAATATTTTAGAGAGGAGCTCTCTGCATTCTGTGGATACTCGCACATATTCAGGAATTGAATACTGAATGCCCATAGTTCTCTGATCAGAAAAATAATAATAATCATCTTAGCACAAATACTAGAATTGCAAATTGAATTTTGGCAAAGAAAAAAACTTACATTGATTGTTTTTCGAAAATTTCTTGGATCCTCAGGATCCTCAAATGGATATGATCCGACCAACATAACATACAGTGTGACTCCACATGACCAAACATCTGCAATCTAAAGTTAGGAAGTTTTCAGACTGAATTTGGGAAATTTGCAGATTGCTAAGCCTTCGGACATAAACATAAAACGAAGAAATTTCGGTTTTTGTTAAAGTAAATCCAAGTCAACATGGATTTGTTACTGCAAAAACTAAGTAAATAAACAGGAGAAATTGGGGTTTTAAGCTTTTCCCAATCAGGAAAAGCTAAACGCAAAGCAATAAAAATGTGTCCCTTATATATTTTTCTTCTTTCTGAAGACATATTTGCAACCAAGCACACTTGTGTTAGATTTTTCATGAAAATAGAAAAGTTACCTTGCCATCATATTCTTTTCGAGAAAAAATCTCTGGAGCTATGTAGGCTGGAGTGCCTACTGTTGATTTGGGTTGTGAATGTAACAAACCAGACTGCATCACAAAAGAGTTCAATAAACAATGTCTAGTAAATTCTTCCTCTTTCTGGAAATTGAGCTGCTATTTAAAACAACATAGTGGTTTGGGTATTATTTAAAACAATGTAACAGAAAAAAAAATTGTGGGGGGGGGGGTAGGGGTGGGGGTGGTGGGTGTCATTTAAAACAACCTAATTGATTTGGGGGTTTAAATTACAAATATGAAGATTTGGGGGCCTCTTTTCCTTTTTCTTTTTTTTTTGGTGTGAGATTGTCTTTATGTGCTAATATGAGAAAAACCCCAATAACTAATACCTTTGAGTAACCAAAGTCACATATCTTAAGACGTGGAGACGGGCTTCCATCCAAGAGTGTATTCTCCAATTTGAGATCTCTATGACAAATTTCCTACACAAAGTGAAAATATATTATTGAAATGATGTCCAACCTTTTATATGATGAGGCAATAATAAGCGTGTACGGGCATTGCAATGGTCTACCATAGAATGGCAGTAACTGACTCCAGATATCAGCTGTTGAAAGAAAAACCTTGCCTGTCAAAGTTTAATTGACATCAATGTAAGCATATGATATTAAGCAGTATATATAGCACATAGGAGTGCACGGATATTAAGGCAGAAGGATTTTGAGTACCACCTCATCCTCACTAAATCTACCAGCACTGCATATCCTCTCAAATAGCTCACCCCCAGCTGCATATTCCATCACAATAGCTAGGTGAGTTGGTGTAAGCAAAACCTGCAACACAACATTTAATATTACATTTTTCTCAAAAAACATTTATTATACAAAAATAATGTATTCAGTAAAGAGTAGAATGTATGGCAAAAATTGGAAGGTTGTGGTACCAAAATGAACGTATCCATGTAACGATTGGAAGTGCTATCAAAATATCTCAAACATGAAACATAGAGCAGTTCAAGTTCAGCTTTCCAGAAATTAAGGTATAGTATATGTGAATGTTCCGGTAATAAGGAGTGCAGGAATGTTTAGATGGCAGGCTTTACATCATCTCCTGATATCAACATATGAACCATATCATATGAAGTATCATATGGGAGTCTAAACATGTAAATTTGATCAAGAAAAAATTGACAGTACTGCTGATGTCGTCAACAACAACTAATTCACACTGGTACTAGCTAATGACGATTAATATAGGAGTTCTGCTACATGGACCCAAAATATGGAACCATTGGAGAGGACAGGTGAGATGTCCCCCTCCTATTACATAATGAGCTGGCATGACCAGCTCATTATGCAATAAGGAGGGGACACCTCACATGTCCCCTTCATTGGTCTCATATTTTGGGTCCTTAAGGCATTTTTCTTAATATAGATGAGATTTGATTTTTGAAGTATCAAAATTTGACTTGATATAACAATACCGAAGGGAAAAGGGGGGAAATCTGTGAATTGAATGATTTAGACTATCATTCCATGTACTGAGAATTTTGCTATTAGGTTGAGTCCCGATATCAATATTGTTAATTAATATATTATGGAGATGTATGATGTTATAGTTATATTAGGACTAATATACTAGGAATATGTGGTTAAGAGACATTAGGGATTAGGGATGAGATTGAGAGACTAAAGAAATATGCTAAGAGTATGTTTAGCATATTCCTAAGATTATGTTTAGCATATTCCTAATAATATGCAACATGTGTTTATTTGCACTTAGTATAAATATAAGAGAACAACAGAGCTCTAGATAGAATCTCTAGCTTCCTTCAGAATTAATTTCAATACGGCATCACAACTACGCAAACCCTAGCCTCTACAAAACCCTAAATCCTCACAAACATTAGCCCCCAATCTCTCACCATCAAACTCCTCCCTCTGCCTTACAGCCTTCCTTCTTTCCTGTGACTAGTTGCTATGAACAAGAAGCGGTGACTGTTCATAGTGAACAGTGTCATTGTGACTGTTCACCGTAAACAGTGCTGTGGATTCTTGCCCGTCATGCTTTTGATGGCCTTGTTGATGATAAGGATTGCCAATAAATAGCAATAGTCATCCTCGATGTATATGTTCTTGTCACCGCCTTTGCCGCCTTGTGTTTGTTGGGAAAATTGAAAGAAAAAAATAGAGAATTGAATTTGTATTATTCTCTCTAACAGACTTAGAAAAAGAATGAATTATAATTCTCTCAATGTAATCTCTCTCTAACTGGCTTAGAAAAAGAAATTACAATCTTCCCGATCGGTTTCCCAAGTTACAAAAGAGAGAAGGGATCGACGGAGACCTTTCATTTTGTTTAACCTGGGTTCTTTTTGGTGTTGATGGGAGTTCAGATTCTTGTATCCCGTTGACGATCCGAACGTTTAAACTCGTGGAACACGGTTGAATCCTCTTGATTAGATGTCGAGGAGAACTTGCAAGGCAAGTTTATAACTCTAACGAGTTTTGGAACTCAGAACGAGTTTAAAACTCTATGAAAGAGTTAATTAAGATCTAACTGAAATTGGTTTTCAAGCCAAGGAAGAAAGCTCCAAAGATCTCTGTTGCCGAGGATTGATCCCGGATCTCCAAGGATAAATGCCAATCTATCCAAGATCCGAAAGTGCTCCAAGATCCCAAAAGAGCCCCCCCCCCCCCCCC